ACTTTATTAGAGGCAGTAGCAGCAATCAAAATTAGAGATCAAATTGGACAAAATTAGATTTCTATTGGACAAAGTTGGATTTCTAGTAGGATTTCAGAAGGGACGTTTCGGCCCCCGAAAACCTATTCTTGTGATTGATTTTGCGTCATGTTCGGCAGGAAATTAGGTGGTGTTTTGCTGTTTCGGCTGTGTTTTAAAAAAGGTGTCTGGCTGCTGGTTTCTTGCTTTATTATAGGCAGCAGCAGCAGTCAAAATTAGAGATCAAAATTGGATAAAGTTGGATTTCTAGTAGGAGTTCAGAAGGGACGTTTCGGCCCCCGAAAACCTAATATTGTGATTTATTTTCCGTCATGTTCGGCACGAAATTGGGTGGTGTTTTGCTGTTTCGGCTGTGTTTTAAAAAAGGTGTCTGGCTGCTGGTTTCTTGCTTTATTAGAGGTAGCAGCAGCAATCAAAATTAGCGATCAATCAAATTTGACTAAAATTAGATTTCTATTGGACAAAATTGGATTTCTAGTAGGATTTCAGAAGGGACGTTTCGGCCCCCGAAAACCTATTATTGTGATTGATTTTGCGTTATGTTCGGCACGAAATTAGGTGGTGTTTTGCTGTTTCGGTTGTGTTTTACAAAAGGTGTCTGGCTGCTGGTTTTTCTTGCTTTATTATAGGTAGCAGCAGCAGTCAAAATTAGAGATCAAAATTGGACAAAATTGGATTTCTAGTAGGATTTCAGAAGGGACGTTTCGGCCCCCGAAAACTTAATATTGTGATTGATTTTCCGTCATGTTCGGCACGAAATTGGGTGGTGTTTTGCTGTTTCGGCTGTGTTTTAAAAAAGGTGTCTGGCTGCTGGTTTCTCGCTTTATTAGAGGCAGCAGCAGCAATCAAAATTAGAGATCAAATTTGACTAAAATTAGATTTCTATTGGACAAAATTGGATTTCTAGTAGGATTTCAGAAGGGACGTTTCGGCCCCCGAAAACCTATTATTGTGATTGATTTTGCGTTATGTTCGTCACGAAATTAGGTGGTGTTTTGCTGTTTCGGCTGTGTTTTAAAAAAGGTGTCTGGCTGCTGGTTTCTTGCTTTATTATAGGTAGCAGCAGCAGTCAAAATTAGAGATCAAAATTGGACAAAATTGGATTTCTAGTAGGATTTCAGAAGGGACGTTTCGGCCCCCGAAAACTTAATATTGTGATTGATTTTCCGTCATGTTCGGCACGAAATTGGGTGGTGTTTTGCTGTTTCGGCTGTGTTTTAAAAAAGGTGTCTGGCTGCTGGTTTCTCGCTTTATTAGAGGCAGCAGCAGCAATCAAAATTAGAGATCAAATTTGATTAAAATTAGATTTCTATTGGACAAAATTGGATTTCTAGTAGGAGTTCAGAAGGGACGTTTCGGCCCCCGAAAACCTAATATTGTGATTGATTTTCCGTCATGTTCGGCACGAAATTGGGTGGTGTTTTGCTGTTTCGGCTGTGTTTTAAAAAAGGTGTCTGGCTGCTGGTTTCTTGCTTTATTAGAGGCAGCAGCAGCAATCAAAATTAGAGATCAATCAAATTTGACTAAAATTAGATTTCTATTGGACAAAATTGGATTTCTAGTAGGATTTCAGAAGGGACGTTTCGGCCCCCGAAAACCTATTATTGTGATTGATTTTGCGTTATGTTCGGCACGAAATTAGGTGGTGTTTTGCTGTTTCGGCTGTGTTTTACAAAAGGTGTCTGGCTGCTGGTTTCTTGCTTTATTATAGGTAGCAGCAGCAGTCAAAATTAGAGATCAAAATTGGACAAAATTGGATTCTAGTAGGATTTCAGAAGGGACGTTTCGGCCCCCGAAAACTTAATATTGTGATTGATTTTCCGTCATGTTCGGCACGAAATTGGGTGGTGTTTTGCTGTTTCGGCTGTGTTTTAAAAAAGGTGTCTGGCTGCTGGTTTCTCGCTTTATTAGAGGCAACAGCAGCAACAAACAGTGGTATAAACATTGGTCGAAAACTATAAACATTGGTATATTATTGTGATTGATTTTGCGTCATGTTCGGCACGAAATTAGGTGTCTGGCTGCTGGTTTCTTACTTTATTAGAGGCAGTAGCAGCAATCAAAATTAGAGATCAAATTGGACAAAATTAGATTTCTATTGGACAAAGTTGGATTTCTAGTAGGATTTCAGAAGGGACGTTTCGGCCCCCGAAAACCTATTCTTGTGATTGATTTTGCGTCATGTTCGGCAGGAAATTAGGTGGTGTTTTGCTGTTTCGGCTGTGTTTTAAAAAAGGTGTCTGGCTGCTGGTTTCTTGCTTTATTATAGGCAGCAGCAGCAGTCAAAATTAGAGATCAAAATTGGACAAAATTGGATTTCTAGTAGGAGTTCAGAAGGGACGTTTCGGCCCCCGAAAACCTAATATTGTGATTGATTTTCCATCATGTTCGGCACGAAATTGGGTGGTGTTTTGCTGTTTCGGCTGTGTTTTAAAAAAGGTGTCTGGCTGCTGGTTTCTTGCTTTATTAGAGGTAGCAGCAGCAATCAAAATTAGCGATCAATCAAATTTGACTAAAATTAGATTTCTATTGGACAAAATTGGATTTCTAGTAGGATTTCAGAAGGGACGTTTCGGCCCCCGAAAACCTATTATTGTGATTGATTTTGCGTTATGTTCGGCACGAAATTAGGTGGTGTTTTGCTGTTTCGGCTGTGTTTTAAAAAAGGTGTCTGGCTGCTGGTTTCTTGCTTTATTATAGGCAGCAGCAGCAGTCAAAATTAGAGATCAAAATTGGACAAAATTGGATTTCTAGTAGGATTTCAGAAGGGACGTTTCGGCCCCCGAAAACTTAATATTGTGATTGATTTTCCGTCATGTTCGGCACGAAATTGGGTGGTGTTTTGCTGTTTCGGCTGTGTTTTAAAAAAGGTGTCTGGCTGCTGGTTTCTCGCTTTATTAGAGGCAGCAGCAGCAATCAAAATTAGAGATCAAATTTGACTAAAATTAGATTTCTATTGGACAAAATTGGATTTCTAGTAGGATTTCAGAAGGGACGTTTCGGCCCCCGAAAACCTATTATTGTGATTGATTTTGCGTTATGTTCGTCACGAACTGCTTTCACCACCTGCCACCGTTCAACCCCTTCTCTGACATCCCTACCAGGACACCAGTTTCAATTCCAACAAGCCACCCCTGAATACTCTTTCCTTTCCCATCTCTTTGCCCCACACCACCTGCAGCACATTGCACACGGACGTGTTGACACGATTGCCGGCCAGCCAACATTCCAGCACTGCGCTTGCACTCCGCAGCTGCGCCGGCATGGTTTGCGCCGGGTGGATTACACCATATGTTACACAGGAAAAAAGCTAAAATGTTAGACTTTCTTCTCTGCTTTTTCTATAATCTTTTGGGCGTGTCCCATCATTTCGAACGGGCCATATTTCGTAGCTCTCAGCTCTCGTTGCTGCAGTCCAACTAGAATAGCTTCAATCCAAAAAAAAGTTGTGTAGCTATCTTATACCACCAACTAAGCTGGAGCTTTCTTGTCATGATAGCTTTTGGCAATTTGGTCTTATGTCTCTTGGCCCATATGCACATAGATGTGTTGTTGGGTTCAGAGTAAGCTTCTAATTCAACTGTCTCGTCATGCAGCCAGCACCTTACTGCAATTGATCCGAAAGCTGCACCAGTTACGCACATAGCCCTTCGTGCATGATCCTGCATGTGATAATGCATTTGCCAAAGTTTCTCGTCACACAGCTTGCCTGTTTCACCAGCAATCCCCGATTCTTTACCGGGGTCGGCGGCAGGGGCGGCAGCCCTTAAATAACCCCTATGAAAATGGGATGGTGATCATCCATTTTTATTTGAAAATTAGCCATGCTTTGACCATGGCATTTTCAGTGTCCAAATTGTAAGCGATGACCATCCCAGATTCTTCTCCATAATCCCACGCTGTTGGCCATGATATTGAAGTGAAGCAGTAAAGCAGTACCCGGCAAACAGACTCACGTTAGGATCTCCAAATTATGCCTTCAGCCTGATGGAACTTCTTCTTCTGCCACAAGTAGATGAAAAAAACTGCACACAGTGAATTGCCACAAATTTGGATGTGAAGATTGTTTCTTGCATGTTGTAATGAAAATTAAGGTAGATCTTGATATGTGGATATGTTTGGAATCCTCAGACACACGTGAAAAACCCTGCAGTCCCAGGAACTGAGTTCGGCAAGATTCAGCGTAGTGAGGCGTGGCCACACTGTATGATACACTTTCAATACGTTTCAATTTCGAAAATCTGAGTTTTTGTTGATCTCTTAGTTTGCTCAGATTGCTATCAACTAGTGCAGCTGGGCCCTGTTATTCCCGCCAATCTGTTGTGAATTGTTGTGATGTTGTGCGAGGTCAGTGATGTCAGAGATGTCAGTGATAGTTTGGCATGTTTTGAACATCACGTCTGTATTGAGAGCCATAGAAGGCACAAGTCAGAATCACCACATGTGCAAAAAGACATCTCGCGGCAGACTCTGAAATCATCTGCTGGAAAAAAAATTGCTTGCGGGCAACACAAAACGGTTTCCCTCAGCCAAGTTGTTTAGTGCTTCCACCCTAACCACACATGTTCAAAAAAAAGCCGGGTCAGGTACATTGTGACGTAAAACAAAGACTTCACCCCTGAGCACCTCATGACCCATACTGTGCCCATTTCAAAGGTGCACCCCGGACGTTTTTTTCGTGTCGCGGAGTGCCTCGGACCGCCGCATCCAATGGCTGTGGCAAAGCCCCAGCGGCCAGGCCCAAGTTCTCAAGTTCGCAGCTCCTGACAGAGTAGGTGTTATGCACGTTGCCCGAGGGCTTTCAGATTTCTACGAGAATTTTCTATATATGTTACAACAACTTATCCTATCTTGTGAGTTCTGATAAGCAAGGTGATGGAATTGGAGCTGTGGTTTTCCAAACAGTTCTGCTTGATCCACTTCTTCAAGAGCAAAGAAACAACTGAAAAACACACAATCTTGTTTTTCCCACCAGCCACGAGAGCTCAGGCGTTTGTCTTTTCAAGGCTATTTCACAACTGATCTAAACTACGCCCCGTGCGGTCACGGTAATCACGATCATCTTCGGGAGGGGGGTGTTAACCGCATGGCTCCAACCTCAGCCGAAGATAAGGATTCTGGAAGACGTTGTTGATGACGGCCACATCACCGTCGGTGAAAGCGTAGATGCTCCACCGTCCAGCTGCTGGAGCCCCTGCAAATCCTGGAGCCACAGGTGTACCGGACGGACCAAGAAGAGTAACAGTCGTTCCCAGAACGTTCCTATTTTGGAATGCTGCGCGTGTCCAATTGACTGGAATGCCATCTGGGCTGAAACCATCAGTGATCACGAATCCACTTGGACCGGGGGTGAATTCAAGTTGAAGTCGAGAAGTGGACCCACCGGAACCGGGACCGCTAAAAGCTGGCACGCAGCACGCACTGCTCACCTCCACGTCAAACTGGAGGAGGGTGGGGCTAGAAGAAAGATTAGTGCCCACCAGTGAGAGATTGGTAGCAAGATAATCGTTTCCACGATTCCAATTGCCAAAACAATCAGGAAGTGCCAAAATCTGGTTGCATGCTTGAAGTCGAAACTCGACCTTCGCTCTGGCAGCCTTTTGGATGGAAGGGTTGCCGCTAGCATCGAGCAGCTTGATCGTCCAGCTGCCAAGCCCTTGGAACCCGGCGAATGCCACGGTGTTGGCAAAGAGTTGACTTCCGGATCGAACTGGTGGCACTATGGCTTCTGTGCCATTGGGGCTGGTGATGGATATCATATAAGCAGCGGTAAAATCCGCAGTGAGATCTAGTTCCACACCCAAGTAGCCAGGTGCGGAACCGCTGAAAATGCCGCCTACACATTGGCATTCTTGGGATGTACCAGCACTGAATGGACTGAGCGTGACATTGAGCGTCATGACATTTTGGGGCGTGCTCGGGACAATGACATTGCCCGAAATTGCCCCACACACCACCCTGGTGGTGGTGGTGCTTGTGGTGCTTGTGGTGCTTGTGGTGGTTGCCACTGTGGTGGCTTCTACTGTCATTGTGGTACTGGTGCCCGTTGCTTCCAGGGCTTGCGTTGTGCTCTCGGCCACGGCTCGGCTGGTGCTGCTGGTCTTCGCGCCGTAGCGGCCGAAGCGGCGGAAGCGGCGGAAGCTCCGAGCACCGCCGGGATGGGACTGGGACGACTGGGACGACTGGGACGACTCCACGTTCGGCTGGAGGTTCACCAACTGCACGAGCCCGTTCTCCTCCTGCTCCACGCAATGCCCACAGCCCGGCACCGCATTGGCACCAAAGATGCACCAAAGGAACATGGCACAAACGTTGGTCGGCCGCATATTGCGAATAAGATCGGTTCGACTACAAACTTATGGACCTGAACTGTAAATTTGGGCCAAAATGGTTCAGGTTTTGAATGGTGACATGTGAAGACATGTGAACCATCTCAAAACGGCAGACCCCTCAGGTGTTTCCACTTTCCGACCTTGAAATACCTTGAAGATAGCCCCCATCCGGGCATCAAAAACTCATGGCCGCCATTGCTCTGCCCCTTCCGCACCAGCTCTGGTCCTCACGGTCCTCATGGCTCGGGCGTGGACCGACATGGACCTGAGCGTGGGCATCTCTGGCATCTCGGTTTTTCCGCGCAGTCGGTGACTAAATATATAAGATATAGAATTTGCCAACTAAAACCCACAAAATAGATCAAAATAGCAGGTTGGAGTGCCAGAACCGGATTTTGAAGGCTCTTCCCACAAATTTCGAAGTTTTGATGTCGATAACCTGGTTTTGAATCAATAACCTACTTTTCAGAAGCCCAGCTATCTTTTATGATCAAACATGGCCCTCATAGCCTACCTCCACCAATCCCTAAGCCATTTTGGCTGCCGCGGCGTCACAGAAGTCACAGACAAAAAAAAAGCCGGGATGCTCAGCAAAGCTCCTGTTATCATGGATGCATGGTGACATCATGGTGATGTTGGAAAAGAATGTTGACAGCAAGACTTCCTCCATCATCCTAGCCATCCCAGCCACAGTTTTGCCCAAGGTGTCAGTCTCAAACAACATGACGCAGTTTAATAATGATCTGGCGATCGAGGAATTCCATGAGGAAATCAGGGCGCGGCTCGAGATGGGAACCATTTGGTGAACAAGGACACTACCAAGGCTACATCGTCCTGAACAGGTGGGTCTGTTGCAACATAAATACAGCACCAACCAATTCCTTGATGATAAACCCATTTATACATATGTATACCCCATATTTGCATATATTTGCTAGTTACGTCAAGCATTTTTGTTGGTTTAGACATACCAAATCTCTACCAAGGCCACCGTTTTGTCACTTCCCCATTGTCCACGCCCAGTTCTTTGAGGCGCGCGCGTCAGACGCAACGCAGAACTGGACCTGGCAAGAACTGGATCTGGTGGGCGATTCAACGGTGAAGCATCACGGGTATTCAACCATCATTTATATGGGTTGATGGAAAAAAAACTGCACCAGTTGGTAGATGAATTATCCCATGATTATCCCATTATTTAGAATGGTTCATAGTTACCAATAGTTATATGTATACCAACGGCTACGGAAGTTTATAAACTCCAGATGATCTTTTTTTCACATCACTTTTCCAACAGTGCATGATGGTAGCATGATGGTATGACAATCGTTTTTGTGCCATCAAGGCTTCACCCTCAACTCACGCAACAGCCATGAAGAGCATAAAGCTTCCTCTGAGCCCGCCTTCTGTCCTTTGTAAAGGTTCCCTTTCATGGCCTCAGAGCTGGCAGCTCCAGCATTTCCCAAGGGTCCGTGGGCCATCTGTGGATGTTGCCATCGCCATCAGTCTGCGCGTGAAGGATCCTCAATGCATCCACGGCTTTGAAGATACTTCTAATGGGAAACAAAGATCTAGGCTTCCAGCCGCCAGTGAATCAGAGCAAATGTCTTAGGTGTGGTCACCTGGTCCAAAGGGGGCAGAGCAGCCACAGAGGTGCCTCTAAAGTGGCGCTGCAATTCGACATGTCCAATGGCAGCCAGGGTGAAATCGCATTCAAACTCAAACGTGATGTCTTGTGTAGTTCCATAAGGGCGTTTTTTGGAGTCTGGTCTTGCAAACCACTTTGACAAGTCACAAAGACAACACTAGAACCAAGGCGCATTTGCCCGTTTCAAATGCACTGTAGTCCCACAGGCTTCGGTAAGGAAGGCGGAGATCATCCTGTCTCGAATGTCCCTGTCGCATCCTGTCACACCCAGAACTCGCACTGAGCTATCCTTGGATTTCTGTTGCTTGGCAGCTAAAAAAAATGGGAGAACATCCCACTAGATGCCCACTGGTGTAGCCAACCCAGAAGGACAAATGTTAATAAAAGCGACTCATCAAATCCTTTATTAACATTTGATTCTCCTGTATGGCGCCACAGCGACCACGGGGTGAGAAATCTCCTCGAGGTCGTCTCGGCACTCAGCAAGAGTTGGCCTCGGCACTCAATCTCCGTAGCCATGGCTGAAGCCCAGGGGGCCCAGGCCCAGAAGTGCAGTCCGTGCACTGCAGCACTGTGTGTCACAGGTCCCTCAGATTCTGGACCGGTCTATATCACATGACTGTCCGCGTATGTCTATACATCTGTTTTTTCACTCAGGCTCATCAATGATTTACACGTACTGTATATGTATGTTTTTTGTAAATATTCATGTAGTATGTGTATGTGTGTGTGTGTTTGTGTGCATATGTGTGCTTGTGTGCATCTGTGTGTTTGTTGCTTATGTACCCTGGAATATCCTGGCATTGTATTGTACAGTATCTGCCCGGTTTCGACTCAAGTTTCGAATTAAGCTTAAAGCCACTACCCAACTTTCATATGAAAATCTTATGCATCAACAATCACATTGCTCGATGGCAGAACGTGAGCAAGAGAACTCACTGAAAATCTCTGGAAAGGTGGGCCATTCGCCTTTTTGAAACTGCTGGAATGGTGTGAAACGGCCATCCACGACCTCAGGCGCAGAACAACTGGGGTCCCTCGCTCAAAAACATGTCAGGACGTGTAGAAGTTGTGGCGTGAACACAAGACGTTCTCTTCGCAAGATTGTGCAGCATGGTACAACCGCCATGCTCAGGAACCAGGCATTGCAAAGGGGAAGAAAATCTTTGCCTAAAAATGAGATCAGGCAGAAATTGAATTCTAAAATTGATCAAACGCGAGAAGGATGTTGCACTGAGAGAAAACCGCCAGGTTGATGGCAAAGTTCAGCACATCAGTGAACTCCTAGCACTCCTAGTCCATCTTGTTGCAACCGGTGAGTGCTAGGTCCCCAACGATGTGAAGGACCTGGGACAGCCTCAACTTGACCTGAGCCATCAGAAATCTGCCGATGGGCTTGGATTTAATGCAATGAGTCTTTGATAGCCGCACATCATCGAACCCCTTCCGAAGCGCGATGGCCTGAAAAAGAGATGTCTTACGCTGCTTGCTGCATGCGGCAATATGGTGAAAACAGGTTCAAGGAAATTCGGCAGGAACCTGATATATGTATATGTATATGTATGTATGTAGGTAGGTAGGTAGGTATGTAGGTATGTAGGTAGGTAGGTAGGTATGTAGGTATATAGGTATGTAGGTATGTAGGTATGTAGGTATGTATGTGTGTATTTATGCATGTATGCATGTATGCATGTATGTAGGTATGTAGGTATGTAGGTATGTATGTGTGTATTTATGCATGTATGCATGTATGCATGTATGTAGGTATGTAGGTATGTAGGTATGTATGTGTGTATGTATGCATGCATGCATGCATGCAGGTGCGTAGGTAGGTAGGTAGGGAGGGAGGTTAGGTTAGGTTAGGTTAGGTTAGGTTAGGTTAGGGTAGGGTAGGGTAGGGTAGGGTAGGTAGGTAGGTAGGTATGTAGTTATGTAGTTATGTAGTTATGTAGGTATGCATGTATGTATCCTCAACTACTACCCAGGGACCCTGAGACCTTCAAAAGGGCGCCAAGGTCAAGGTCTAGAATGAAGTTCACTCGTGGCGACTTTGGCTGTCAAGATACAACGTAATTATATGAGATAGTATGAGATCATATGAGCAGGTGCGGAACGGGTAAAAAGACTCGAAAAATACATGTTCAAATCCAAAGCTAAATACTAAACAGTAACAACTGATGAAATTTGCATCACGGAACGGCGGCCTTCTTTTGGCAGGGAACTAGGAAACTACATACTTTTTAAAAGATCATCCAAATTTTAACATGTGGATAGTGGATGATGATGGTTCGAAAAGCTCTCGGTTCTTTGTGGCACCCTGGCAAAAACAGGTGCCAGTGAGGCAACCAAGTTCGAATCAAGAGAAACAAGCCACCGGGGTGCCAAGAAAACAAACCACGAGTAGACTATTAGTAAATATCAATCTGCTGACATGCGTTCGTGCAATCATGTTCCAATAAATGAGCTGACCCAGCATATCCACCATCCCAATATCAATCAACTTGGCCATCTGACTGGCGCGGCTAGGAAACCATGTCAGACCTACCCAGTGGTTGGAGGAGTTAAAAAAAAAAAAAAACACCCAGCACGCCACATGAGGCCATGGAGACCAGCACGGCGCACGGCTCTGCAAGTAGGAAGTTGTGGATATTGATTTTGGGATCAAATTGAAGAAACTCATATACAGATATATACAGTAGATATCTTGGGTATCTGTCCTTGGCTAGTTTACATCCTTCAGAACTACAGGAGTGACAAGCAACCGAAGACCCAGAACGGTGCTGCCTGCCATTTTCCCCATTCACCATCGCAGCAGGTGCTCTGAAGGCAGCTGTGGGCATTGCAAGGTTCAATCTGCACCAATTGTGGTCAACAACTCAGTGAATTGATGGGAATGGAGTCACTTCATTTGTTGGCAGTGCTTTGAACACAAAATTTCAGGGCGTGTGCAAAAAAAAGGGCGTGGAACTTCAGCCCTAGTGGCAACCAAACACGAGACCAACAGGAAAAACTAGCATCCAACAAGGCACGATTTGTGAACGGATCATGCAACTTGAGCATTCAAACATCAGTAGGTTTTAGGCCCTTTTAGGCATCAGACATCATTATCAGATTATCCCCAGGTCAAGCAGAATGCGCCACAGCAATGCCACAGTGGAGCTGAGAAAGATGAAGACGCAGGTCGACCAGCTACCGATGGCACCATTGAACCATTGGGGAATTTTGTAGGAGGGAAACCGGTTGTGGCGGTGGTTGTCACTGGTTGTTGCTATTTTCCTTCCAGTTCTTCTTCCGGTTCTTCTTCTTCTTCTTCTTCTTCACTTTTGTTCTTGCTCAATTTTGTCTGTTTCGGGTTGATCATGGTGTACATGGGATCCCCCCACAAATCCAAGGAGTGCTGCTGTTCTGATCCTCAGTTTCCGACCCCAGACGTGAAGAACCACGCAACGGTCTCACGCAACGGTCTGGCATTGACCTGACACAGTGGATCACGTTTCCACTGGCGACATGATCGGTGGCATGTTGAAACACACCGGTCCTGACCCCAGCAACGAGTCTGCCGTCTGCACAGTCTATTCTATTTTCCCACTCATTGTCTTACACATCGAAGAGTCTTCCCAAGGAATTCACAGGACCTGTCTGAATCATCGTTCCACTTTGGGACAACCACCCCAGCTCTGCGAATTTCCAATGAACCTGCAGCACAGCCCGCGCTACGAACTCTCCATTCGCCCCACCTTGTGACCTGCACAGAAAGCAGGGACACACCACGCAGCAACACATGCATCGCACTGATCCAGCTTTGCATCGCTTTGATGTGTGAAAGAGTTGGTGTGCCCGTAAAATCCACAACTTCATGCTCGGTTTCAAAAAACGTTGCTGTCACAGGTGTGTTTCCTCTAAACTTCAACGCATGTCCAGCCTCGCAATCCACCGAATTGCACCAGGACACTTCGCACCTGGGCCAAAGAATTCGCAGGAATTCAGTCGGATTTTCTCAGAGACGAAGCTGTGTTGGACCATCCGATCAAATACTCAGAGTTCCGGCAAAGTGATAGGGCAGGGTAGACCGCCCAGAGCGTATTGCCGGACCTCAGGCTTTAGCATCAAGTTGCACCGAGCATGGCTGTGGGTCACTGCAGCCTGTTGTGGAACTGGTGGTAGCTGTACGTCATCTCACGTCTGAAACCCCGAAATCAGATCAGATTCTGTCCTATCCCATAGAAATCTCCCCTACAATGAAGCCTACATCCTGGGGTCCTGGAACCTCCAGAGTCCCTGGCCGTTCTCGGATGCCTCTGCTGTTGTCGTCCACAAGTGTCGCAAGCATCCCAGCCACTCCTCAGACGGCAGGTTGCAACACCATCCATGTCCTTTCAGAAAAAGATGCGTTGGGGGGTATTCTATTCACCCAACCTGGCCAAAAATGGAGCATTTCTCTGTTGTAGACATCGAACAGGACCCCATGGATCCCCATTTGTTGGAGAGCCATGCATCTATGGAGCGTCAACTTTCGATGGGAACAAGCTGCAAAAGTTTGCGGACACAGGGACCCAATCAGGACCCCTTGAACTTTGGCCGGGCTGAGTGTCCAAACCAAGCTGAGACTTGATATTCTGCGCCGCGCCACAGGACCTGAAGGGTACTTGAGCTTCAGAGAGACTCAGGGAGCAGAACTCGCAAGCAACTCGTGGTGGAAAACCAAGCAGCACCAAAGTATGAGCTGGTTGGGATAGGCCAAGCATTCTGCAGAAATTGTCTGAACCGTCTCTGTTAATCTCTCCATTTTGCAAGACAACTTAGGGCAAAGTGCTTGCTCTGTTTCAATCCATCCCAAGAGTATCAATCTGCTGGCTCGATGCCAAAGGAATGAACATAGAAAAACATTTGGGAACATGTTCAGTTTTGGTACCCATTTTAATTGGGTATATAAACCATTATAAACCTATAACCTTTATGCCGATTTCTCGGTGGCTTTCTCAAAATCTTGGTGAGTCCTCCCTGGCAAGTGCCGCACTTGGTCTCCAGCAGAAAGGGATCTCCAGTCCCAGTTCCACAAGGCCTGGGCATGGCATCCCACTGTGTGGCGTTCCACGCCTTGCCAACTTTAAACTCTTGTGACTAGGGCGAGGGGAGGGCACACTACGCTACATAGTGCCGCACCCGCACCCTTACAACTTTCCCTCTCTCCCTCTCCCTCTCCCCCTCTCTCCCTCTCCCCCCCTCTCTCTCTCTCTCTCCCTCCCGTCTCTCTCTCTCTCTCTCTCTCTCTCTCTCTCTCTTTCTCCCACAGGGATTTTGGTCAAAAATGGATGCCCAACATGTGAAGATTATGGGAAAAGCCTCAAAACTTCTCCGTATGTTTGTTGCCAGAAAGCGTTGGCAAATCACCATATTTTTGTACAAGCCCACGTGATTCTTCTTTGATCATATCATATGTTGCTGGAGAACAGGTACAAAACGGCTACACCTGGTCATCTGGCTGTGGCTCAAAAGTTGGTAAGAATGCCGCCACTAAACTGTCGTTTCTTTGAAACAAGTTTTGGGGTCCCGATAATTTTGAATTCAGGAAACGCGCATCTCGAGATCGTTCCTGAACTTGGACCACCTCCAAAATATGCAGGTGTAATACTACAGCTGAGAGTCAGGGCAAACTCCAGCAGTTTAAAATCTCAGGCGAAATATCTGTGTTCCTTTTCGGTGCTCATTCAGCTCATTCCTTTGAGGTCTCAGCGTGCTTTCGAAATCATCAAATGTCCATGACTCTGATCCTGCCGATACCCGTGTGCAAGTATCCCAAAAGCTTAACAAAATAATTTTGACATGTTTCGACCGCTACCCCCAGCTGGGCTTCCCGTACGAGTGCGAAACGTTGCTTTTCAAAGCTCACAAGGCGTTTCCGCATGATTTGCCTAGATTGTGGCACCAGCAAACGCAGGCATCACAAAACACATTCTAGTCGCTGAGACCACAAAACCAAAGGCCTCTCTGCCTTATCATCATATCACATCAACTCTAATATGCTGTTATATCACCTCATATCATGTCACATCATCTCATGTCTTGTCATACCATGTCAAGTCATGTCACGTCTGGTCACATCACATCGCAGCACATCACATCATGCCATATGACATCATGTCGCGTCGTGTCATCTGATATCATATCGTGTCATGTCATGTCATATCATTTCATGTGGTATCATATCGCAAGTAGATGTGAAGCGCCAACGACGGCAAGCACCCGATTCTTTCGCGCGTGTCATATGGAGGTTTAAGATGGTTACAGCTCATGACAAGCGCTTTTGGGCACGATCCAGACAAGTCAATACATGTTCGCTATTTCCATACATGAATGCAAAGAGTCACTTCTACTGTTAAGGAAAGCCATGACGAAGATTGCGGATGGTCGGCAAGAAGCGCGAGGACAATGATGCTTTGAAAATCTTTAAAAACCTCGTGGCTTCGGCCTCTTAAACGACTCTTTTGCATCGTCCACTGCACCGTTTTTTCCCCAGTATCACCACTCCAGAAGAATGGACCTAACCGCTATCTTTATCATCAGGATCATCGCCGCCACCACTGCTGGCAGCAGTCACAACAGCCGCAAGAATCAGAGTACGAAATCATCATGAATAAGTGTGACATAGTGTGACACATACCCAAATCATGGATCTAGGCTAGTTGAACTAAAAACAAAAAACATAAAAGACCTCCAACAACAAAATTGAAAACCTCCAATGGGCCCATGAGTGCGCTGGTATACTTTCACGTGGCCAACCCTTCCAATTCTTCTACCTTTCGTGAGAAAACTCGGAGGGCCGAAACAAAACAAAGAACATTGTTGGATGGTAGTAATACATGCAAAACTCTCAGATTTTGGTCGAAGCTGGTGTACTGAGAACGGGACGCGGTCAACATCATTTAGTCTTCTTCCTGATGTTCAACCAAATCAATTTGAGAAAGAATCAAGGAGGTTTCCAACTATTCAACTAACGCCAAAGCAACTACGTATCAAAGGTCAAACCCCAGGGTTGGGCAGTTGGAAGTTTGACTTTTTATTGTCGTGATCTTAGTAGCAAGCGACGAGATTTCCAACATTCATTATAGAACATTGTGTGCACGTGTTTGCGCAAAAACATCCACAGTAAAATGCCTTGGGAAATTCATACTGTTGAAGTCCCTAAATCAAATTGGATCGCCTGTCAAAAGCATGGCGACTACACCGGTGTCTCCTCTCCATCTGTCCTCTTCCCAACACAAGAGAGATAGCAGGCCACAGAACATTGTGTCCAAATAGCCGCGCACCTTGGGCACCACAAGATCATGGTACAACTACATATACTGTGTCCACTGACACATTACCAATACATGTACCAACATGTACCAACACCAAGCAGGACAGGGTGCTCATAAGCTTTGGATTTCCGCCAAAAAATATCCAAAAAGGATCCAACCACCATGGCAAATATGGCAAGAAAGGTGACCAGCAATGGCCAAACGCCAAGTTTCCAATCCAAGGCCATCACAATTTTGCGGCCTTCCTTCTTGCGCCGTGCACGGCGGGCTGCGGCATCCTGTCGAGCTGGAGATACAACTGAATTATCTCCTTTTTTTTGTGGTTTTGCCAAAGCTGTTCCGAACAACTTGGCGTTGTAGCGAAACACGGATTGCCTTTTACCACTCCCCCCTTCCAAAGCGCACATGTCACGAGATTTCTGCGAAATTCCGTTTACTTGTTTCACTTGCCGCAGCTACGTCAATGCCAAAGTCTCCTGCCTGTTGGTCGTTGGTTTGTGTTGAGATCCCCGGTATGATGGTCAAAAACAGTGGGACGCAATGCAAATCCAGTGAGGTGCAGCCCCCCTGGGTTGGCATTTTGGAATTTGCAATGTAAGTTGTCCCATAGGATGCCACAAAGGCAAACCCAGCAGGCAGTGATAAGATTCCAAACCGCTTGGCTGGTTCCAACCCGCATCCATGTGACGATTTTTGGGTTATCTCTAGCTATCTCAAATTGAAACAGCGGTTATCAGACTATCAGGTGACCATGTCTTCCACGCAGCTGTGCACTAAATCAAAAATTTCGCCAGCCACCCCCTGAAACAATTTCTCTCGCAAAAACGTCTGTTCTCAACAGGCTAAAATTTAAAGGGCGACCTTGTTTGCTGGCCTTCTCCATCACAACCACCGCGGAAACAACTTGGGAGGTCAATGCCTTTGCAAAAGCAACGATGCACAAACTGTAGGTGCTTGGAAGAGGTTTGCTTGGATGCACCGAGACCCCAGCCATGGCCTTTCCTGGTGGTTATTGAACGGTTATTGCGGGTTTCGAAGCGAGCCCACACAGCTGAAGATATCTTTTTGACATGTCAAGTGCAAAAGACTCCTGGCTGTGACGAGTCTCGGAATCTAGCTACTTCAGCCTCTTTTACAGACATCGGCCAATTTTTTCCCCACCCAAAATGTGTTCCCGCATGCCACGTCAACATGATACCAAGCCACCACGTCACAGATCGAAAAACATTGTATATCTGGAGGTTTCCATAAATGGGGGTACCTCTAAATCATCCATTTATAGATTGGTTTTCCATTATAAACCATCCATTTTGGGGTACCGCCATTTATGGAAACCTACATCTGATTTTCTCCTATGTTTTCCCAAAATCACCTTTTTCAGTTCGCAAAGGCGTTGGTCAACCCACCGACCTTTTTTCTCCTCGCCAGGTCAAACACTCCAACCTGGTGTCCACCCGGAGGTAAAATGATGATGTTGGGAAATAAGGCCAAGTGGAGACTTGTCATTAAATGACGCCTACACTAAAAATGTGAAGTGTAAAAACACAAATTGAATGACAAAGCCATACAAAACCATTTCAGCAGCACTTTCATTCGGAAGGCTTGTGAACTGCAGAAATTCATAACATCTGGCATTGTGGAAACCACTTTAATCCGCTTCAATTCTGGTGGCTCACCTGAACCCAGGTGCAAAAAGAGTTTCACTCCGTGATAGGTTGACCCCATGCTTGCAACATCAGTAGTCAGGATGTTCCTTTTCCAACTTGACTCGCACATCATCCCCAAAGATTTCCATCAGAGCGATCTCTATCACCAAAATGATGTGACAAACTCCAAAACCACCAAAACTTCCAAACATTGGCGGCTTGGTCTTGCTATGTTGGGGAGCCCGCTGTGAGCCGCCAAGTCACCATTTCAATCTTTGGAAGTCAAGCCAACGAATTGGAGACTTGGCAAATCATCTGTGTTTCTGTACCGACACCCCCGTCACCCGTCATGTGGAAACCACAGCAGTCCTGGCACTGAAATACTGCGAGCGAATTACCTGGTGGCCGGCATACTGCAAAGGGTGGAGATCCACACGCCAAATTTGGCTCTGTCTCTAGAACATGTTAGAACCGGATTAAGGATACCGACTTCCATGAATGAATGGTTCCCGCGTGGAACATGATCGAAGGAAGTTTAGA